CAGAGAGACAGAGAGACAGAGAGAGACAGAGAGACAGAGAAGTAGGAGTTGATGTAAAATGTCTTTCTAGCTTACATATAACTTCCAAATAGTAACATGTACCTTTTTAACATTTTAAGCTTACAGGTAGTTTTTAGAGCTCCTACAAATTTTTGTAAATTACCAATTTCATCACTTTTGGTAATTTTTAATTTTAATGTAAATATTTGTGTATGTATGATTTTCCTTTGATTTTCATATCTAGTACTTTTAGTTAACCAATTTAGAGATAATAGATATCCACCACTGAGTCAAATGTAAGGCCAAGATACTTTTAATTCAGTTTTCCCTTTAAAAATCAATGTCTTCAGGCAGTGGTGGTGCACATCTTTAATCACAGCCCTCAAGAAGCAGAGGCAGGCTGGATCTGTAAGTTTAAGGCCCACCTGGTCTACATATCAAGTTCCAGGATAGCCAGGGCTACACAGAGAATCCCTGTCTCCAGAAACCAAAAACCAAACCCTAAAATCCAAATCTAAAACCCAAAAACCCAAAACCAAAACCGAAACCCCCAAAAACAGACAAACAAACAAACAAACAAGAAAAACAAAACAAATAAGCAAAAAAATAAAAAAACAAAACCATGCAGGTTGAATTAATATACCTTTCATATCTGAAACATGTTGTGCTAAATCTGGCTTTCTTTAGTCATATTCTCCCTCTTCTTAAATCAAATATGGAAGATACACAGAGGAACAGCCTGAATGATAGTGTTTTAATGAACTGAAAGGTCAGAAGCCATATCTTTAGAGGTCTGGAAGCCAACCAAAAACAAAACCCAGAATCGTTGAATAACAACAGATCTTTAAAGCTAAAAAACTAGTATTTTAAACTAGATACACTGAACACAAACCAAAAAAGAAAATCTAGCAGTATCCTCAATAGCCACCTCAGAACAAACAACAAATGAGCCTTAAACCAAACCCAGGGACAGTCACATCACAGAAAGAATGAAAATTTATCTATGATAATTACAGTTCCATGAAATTGTTATAGAGACAAAAAAAAAAGTCACTAAGCAAGACCACATTTCAGATATACCTGTGACAGCAGCAGGTGAGAAGATTGCAACTAAGCAGAAAAATCTCTAGGATATGGTTCAGATGCTTGTCTGATAACACTGCTAGCCTTTTGATTGGTGGAAGACAGTGGTTTGATAACTCAGCACACTGCAAAAGGCTTCACCTGCTAGCTACAGGGACACTAGGTCAAACACAAGATCTACAAAGGTGGCTCTTTGCACGGCTAAAGATTAACCTAGAGTAGATTAAAATTACCCTCTGATATCCAGCTATCATAAAATCATCAGTGACTCTATCAGCTATAGGCAGAGGCTTTAGCCAATGTACGGGGTGGGGGTTGTTTGTTTTGCTGGGTTTTTTTGGTTTTGTTTTTGCCTTGCCTTGCCTTGCCTTGCCTTGCCTTGCCTTGCCTTGCCTT